GCAATAAGTGATTATGAAGATGAAGAACTATGGTGTCATTGTTTCCTTCAGTGATTTTGTCGAAAAAAAAAAGATTATTTAAAGAATTTTCTTATATTTGTTTTGTGAAGTCAAGCTCATATGCCCATATCAGAAACAAAAACATCTTGCGCTCCTCTAAAATTTGTATTTTTAACGAATATGTATTAACATCCATGCGGGTGTTCTTTACCTTTACCCTCACCTAAGACGAAACCCCAGTCGAAGGGGCTTGCGCTAAAATGTCCACTTTTCGCGTAAACGATACCTAGGCTATGTCTTGATCGCTTCGCGCTCTTTTAACCTTGTCGCCCTTTGACCTTCTCGCGCTCCATTCTCCTCGGGTTTATGGGTGTTTCCCGACACTTTGCACACAATTCAATGTGAACTTCTATTGCGTGTTTATTGCCTATTTAAAGCGGGTTTTTATGTCTTGAAGATGACCTTTTTTCTCAAAAGTCCCGGGTTTTCATGGCGTTTTTGCTTTTGCAAAAATAATTTTCGTCAATCTGCTTGTACTGCTATCTAATTCTATCCTCTCGCCAATTTAGCCATTGTTGTTGTCTATGCGGTGATGCATTCTAAAACTAAAGTTCTTTCACGAAAAGCTAATCCCGCCGGGGGTACTAGCCTTTCATTGTCCTCTTGTTTTCGCCATATGACTATTGTTGACTGAAATAGGTGTGAACAACAAGGCTGTAGGTGCTATGTGGACCATGTTTTGGAAAAATTAGGCCAGCCGAGAACGCATAGTGTACCTGACAGGCTACAGAGCCGTTACAATTAGAAAGAGGAGAATAGATTTTTTGCATTTCCCTTTCGAAGCTTAATCAGCTAACTTACCCTTCCAGAGGTCAATTAACCATTTTTTTTGATCCGAAATAAGGCTGTCATTATCCTAAGCCAATATTATCAAACGTTCGTATACAGGTTACTGTAACTTTCAGGGTATACAGTAATCAAATCTATTTATTTGCGATCTTGAAGCTCAAAAGTTCTCATCCCCTATCAGTAATCTTGATATTTTATCAAACAACGATAGTACTCCATCACTTATCGAGTATTGATTAAATTAACGCCCATTCCACCCAAGCCTCTC